TGGAATATTTCTATAAATTGACCCCTTTTTAGATACTTCATCCAAAAACAAAGCATAAAATCAAATTGAGCATAAGTTTGGCCTATGCTTCACTCTCAATGGCTCCACGTATTGTGAGAGTGGATACGCGACACGACGCAAGAGTGCATTTGATGGTACACACTAAATTTGAGCCACCGTCTAGTAACGACTGAGGAATGAAAGATAGGATGAAGGAGACGAAGTATTCGTGCTCGTGCTCGTGCTCGTGCTCGTACTCGCAGTTGACACGCTTGTCACTGCTTGGATTTTGTCGCTCCGGGCAAACGGTGACGGAGCTCACGGAGTTCACGAATATCGGGTTTCTGCTCTGCATTATCGGATGTATGAGGAGATTTGCTGGAACTCATTTTGCCGGGGGATTTCTCACGATAGAGGAGACTGCGAGAGTCTGATTTTTGACGCCAATTGATGTTTGTGGCAAATGTGCGTGCTCTGAAAAACCCCCACCGATGAGCATATTCTTGAAGCTAGTCCATCGGCTTAGGAGTGTTCAGAGGCTCTTGGCTTCTTTACTTCCTTTCCAGTATTCCCCTGAACATTCTCATTCTAACAACGGTGGTCCTGCTGTGGACAGACTGTTAGTCTCTCCACAAAAAGGCTGCAATAATCAGGCGCAACCAGTGGATCCAATTTTGTTGCATATGACCCTCCTATCCAGCCTCGACCAAGAAGAAATGGGAGTCAAGCATTCGTATATACATGCTTCAGGAGGGAGCGGATCTTCCAATATCTCCTATTGTTGGTGTTTGCTCTCGATATTTCATGGAACATTTTCGATTTCAGGATGCCGTGGTAGTATACATGGTCAACGTCTTTCAGATTATAGAAATAATTGTACAGACAGTATCAACAAGAGAACGAACTATTTGGACAACTCCTCTCCCACTACGAGTGAGCTATTGCTTCTCGTGTACCACAAGTTCCCCCGTGCGTGGCTACTTTCTTAATTGCCTGTGAGAATAAAAACAATCGAACAGGGCTGTTTCTTCTAGTGCGATTTCTATAACTTCTTTTCCTAGATACTACCAATCTAACTCGCCATGAAACCACGGGAAGAGCAAACTGAACATAAAGGCAACAAAACGCCTTTTGAATGAGTGGAGAATACTTGAATCATGGAAATTGCCTAAGATTCCCAAGCAATTCAAGTATTACGTCGTTCCCCAGACCACAAATAGGCGGAGCTGGTGCATGCCAGAATCTCCAAGAATTATACCAGAAGCTCACCCTGTTGCGGTCTCAGTATTTCCTGCGCTTTGATATCCTCATCCGGAGCAAAAAATGTTCAGTTGCAAAAGATCCCTAAGTTGGAGTTGGCTTGGACCTTCCCTCATGCTGTCGCACTTGAGCTTTTATATTTCTGGAGGTGCCATATATATATCTACAATACGCCGTCCTTTGTTTGGCCTTTTTTACTACTGTGGATGATTGTTCATAGTCTATTAGCAACAAGCAACATACCTAGTGTTTTGTTGCGAGGGCACAGAATTGGTATCAATGATGAGTGCCAGCAGCAACCCTGGTCTCCCCTCCTGCTTCATATCTTCATGCGTACCGAATTTTAAGAAGGATAGTCCACGGGTATCTCTCTATCAAAGCCAATACTCCATTTCGTGAAATTAATTCGCCATGGGGAATTCACCCCATTGCTGGTCGAACACTTCTATTGTATAAAGCCGTGTCTCGGTAAAAATTCGTATACACTGGCCTATTTTGTTGGGAGAAGTTGGCATCGGGAGGGTGCGCAATAACACAGCGTATGAGTGGCGATGACAGAGTTGCATGTGTTGACGGTTGTGTTGTAGGTGAAGATACGCCCTTGGCTTGCGAAACTTCTTTCTATATTTCTTTCATCCCCGATTCCCTTTTTACCACGGGAAGTCTTAAGTTTCTCGTTAGAACCCAGCTTCTTACAGCGCAGTCTTTCAAACCACAACTACAAGGTCAAACAGCGGCGCAACATATTGCTAACCGATTTCTCTTTCATTCTCTTCGCCTAGGCTGGGTGTCCAAACCTCGAAAATGGCAGATCCTCCAGGGTCTCCAGGGCCCCATACCAACTACTCTGCTTACCCCGAACTTCTCGACGATGTTAAACTAGAGGAGGACACTGAGGTTAACTACGATAATCCATTTCAGGTGGCAGACGTTTTGCTTGGTGAGCCACCTCTGGTAGTTAGCCCAACCGATCAAACAGCTCCGGCAAATGCCAATTTGCCGCTCAATTTACTCCAAGCAAACGCTCCAGCGGATAACCCCACCAATGGACTATTAAGACGAGTGGAAATTAAGCCGAAAGAACGTGTCCCAGTCCCATCCACCACACGTTACATTCTTCACGATTGCAGTATTGAAAACCTTGAAAATGGAAGGAAAGAAGGACTTCACTTTCTGGATCGGTTGAGATCTCTATTCCAGAAATACTCTCACCAACCATCGGAGAATAGATGGCTCAAACAGACCGAAGAACTTAGCAAGAAAGCCGTGCCACCTCGGGTCATTATCGGTGTTGTCGGAACCACAGGGGCAGGCAAATCTTCTCTAATTAACGCGCTTTTATTGTGGCGGACGTAAAGCTTGCGAAAACAGAATTTTCTGCCACCCCCTGAAAAATAGTAGCAAAACACCGCAGAAATAACCAAAATATCCACGTATCTCTAAAATCATTCAAATATCATCCAATTCATTCAAATACGCACCTTTATCATCAAATCTGCCAATATGCCCCCCCAGCTCAGTGAATTTACCATCAATGAGATCGTACGCCTTCTAAACGATGGTTATATGCCTGCTCAGATTGCGCGGACCATTGAGTGCTTCTGGCCACTGTATATCGAATCCAACGAAATATTCGCTGCTTTGAAACTGCTAGAAGTCCTCATTCAACATGGGGTGTAAAAGCCAAAAGATCACACCGGATATCTTGTCAGGTTTGAAGAACTTTTTTGAGGGCATATCCAACTGCATATCGCGATGAAGGCTGTCTGCTTTGTGAAGGATGAATTTGATGTTGATATCCACCCTCATTCTTACCTCCATATTCTCCTGATTATAATCCTATAGAGGAGTCATTTCACGCGTTGAAAGAATGGATTAGAAGATACAGATGTCAGTTAGAGAATCAGTTTGATGGGGATTTTGAAGCCTTCTTGCATCATGCAGTTGAGAATTTCATGGGAGAAGAAGATGCAAGAGGATATTTCAGATCTGCTCATATAGGATAGTATTGTAAAATTTAAAAAGATTCAGATTGCAATTCAATTATGATGATATATAATATCTAAGTTTCAAATTCAGAAGCAGAAGCAGTATGAGGTCTGCTGTCATCATTACAAACAGCAGATAAAGACAATTTAATCTCCTTCAACTGTGACTGCCAGATAGGACTCTTTAACCCATTTCTTATTATCGAGAATATACCCATTCCAATATTCAACTGAACCACCTGCTCATTTGTCATTGTCCGTATATGATCCAGTTCAAATCCTTCATTCTGAATAATGCTCTTTGCAGTTAAAAGAGCTTCTGCTCTTCGAGGTCTCTCTGTCATCAACCAGTTGAAGAACTCATCAATAAACAGATCCGCGTGTTCACCAAACTGAGGGATTGGACTACTTCGAATAGGAGGCAGGTTCGGATTCGATGGCAGGTTCGGATTCAATGGCAGGTTCGGATTCGATGGCAGGTTCGGATTCGATGGCAGGTTCGGATTCGATGGCAGGTTCGGATTCGATGGCAAGTTTGAATTTGATGGCAAGTTTGAATTCGATGACAAGTTTGAATTCAGTCCTCCCATGCCTCCCATTCCTTCCATCATATATTTCATCACCATCACATTGATTATCTCACTTGGAGACACAATATTAGATGAAGAAGGAGTTGAGGGAGATATTGGATACGATAGAAGCTGACAGTCATATCATTTGTTGTGACATTCCGTAACTTGATCTTTATAGGCTCCTTTATCCCATTGATAATCACCCGTTCATACAGCTGAATGAGATCTCAGGCTCAGGGGTAGGTGTTCGCAGAAATCGAGGATCTTCTGACTGTGTCTCCTCCTCCTCCTCCACCACC